GAGGGATAACACGTAGAATAAGTGGTCGAGTAGTCATTTGCCACGTATGCTTCCAGGTCAGCAGGTACTGACCTGACCTGCTGGTAACCGGCTAAAAAGCCTGATTGGGTGTGTTTTTGAAGTAAAAGGGCTTGATTGGGTGATTCGGGAGTAGGAGGGCTTAATTGACGAAATGGTAAGAGTACAGGGGCTTATTTGACAATTTTCTCTTTCATATAATAACTATAATACAATGTAAGAATATTAAGAACATATTGTGCACAATGAGTAGATATTTTGTATGTTTTATTTTGAATGTTCTTGGCTTCTTGCTTAGCCACATATTTTCAGGGTAGGTTGTTTTAGCTTTATGATAAACACTTTGTTGGATATTATTTTATTGTGTATATTTACCTTAGTTATCTTTGTATTTGTGTAATAATAAATATTTTGGCCAGCTTTGAAAACTATTTAAAAACTACATTAACGTCTCTATACAATTACAAAATCCAAATTATAATAAAATTAAAAATTGATATCCTAATTAAGTGAATACAATGAAATCATTTGACCAAAAAAGTTGATTTTGCAAAATCAATTTGGGACGAAGGTAATAAATAATAATTTGGATCAATCAAATGTAGAAGAGTACGATAGGCTCAGTTCTTTTTTGTTAGGTACCATAGCAATCACCTCTAAGGACGTTTTTACTTTGACTGTTGTCAATCCTACACCAGATTTAATAAGATCACACGAGACCAGTGGCGGAGCCAATCATGTTCAAAGGGGTTCACATGAACACCCAATGTTTTGAAAAACATGTAGGTATATATATGTATAAATTAAGTATAATTATTTATTGCTCTTAACATTTGTAGTTCTAAGAATGCATTGAACACCCAAAACTCATATTCCAAATCCGCCACTGCACGAGACTTTCATAGTTATAAAGTACATAGAGATCAAACATTTACCAGACCAGAACAAACTAGTTCAGACCAGACTAGCAAATAACTGTCCAAGTAGAAACATCCTAACAAATCCACTTTTGTTTTCTACTTTATACTCCATTCGTATTTAGAAGATCACTAAAGTAGGTCTTGACACGGTATTTAGAGGATAAGCATATTAGTAGGGGTAATGAATAGTGTAGAGAAGGTATGAGAGGTGAATGAAGATAAAAAGTAGAAAAAGTAAGTGCGATTGAGTTTATTTTAAGGAAAAACTTACCAAAAAGAAAAAGTGTAGCTAACTTTTAAATACATCCCAATTCTCAAATAGAAAAGTGTAACAAACTTTTAAATACGGGTGGAGTATAACCTAGGAACCTTTCGGTCAAGAACAATGAGATATGACAACCTTAAAGCTGAATCAATCTAGTAAAGGGGCTTTGACTAGTAAAGTTGATTCTAACAATGTGAATAATCATAGGTTCTGAACAATTAAAGGAGCTCGTAAAACTGTCAAATAGGTCTACCTACTATTTTGAAAAAATCAATTGAGTCATCATACTAATTATTCAATCAATTAAGTCTACCAATTGTTAAAAAATGATCAAATTTGATTTTTGTTCGGTAATTGACCGGTTTCCCTAGTTAATGAGCCATAAGTGCTGATATGGTCGTCCATGTGGCATTAGAGTCTTTTTCCTTTTTTTATTAAATGTTTTCTTCTTCTTCATTCTCCCATTCCCTGCAACTCTTTTCAGTTTTCCCCCGTTTTCTTCTTTCCTTTTTCTTATTTCTCTTCTCTTTTCTTTCTTTATTTTCTTGTCTTATATGTTCCTTCTTCCCGCTCTAGCTTTCCATCTTCAACCACCGTCGATCTCTGCCACCAGTATATCCGTCAAGTTCTGCCGCCGCTGTCGAGCTCTGCCGCTGCCGTCGAGTTATCCCGCCGCTGTCGCCTTCTCAGTCACCACTTGGTTACCATTGAAGAAGAGGAAGGGTCGCCGTCGGGTCTCTGGGCATGAAAAAAAGGGGGTATATATAGAAGGTTGGGTGGAGTAGAAGAAGTAGAGTGAAGAAGAGGAAAAAGAAAGAAAATGGAAACAAGAAGGTGGTGAATTGCGGGAAAGAAGGAGGGGAGAAGGAGAGAAAAAGAAGCGGAAAAAGAAAAAAATGGAATGAAGAGGAGGGGAAGTTGCAGTGGCGGATGAACAAGGGCTACGAACCAGCAGGAAAAGAAGGAAATAGAAAAAGGAAAAGAAGGTTAAAGGGGGAGGGGGAAGAAACAATACTCCGTACAAAAAATTTAGGTGGCATCCAAGTCAACAAAATAAGGGGTTACCAAGTGTAGCTCAGTTGGTTCAATGGTGGGAAATTTGGACCAAGTGACCAAAGTTCGAAACCCGCAGCGACAATGTGGAAGTCACAGAACCTGAAATAAGGTTGGGCCTCTGGTGCGCACGGGAAAAAGACCTACCATCATTAGACCGACTGAGTCACCGTGATTAACATCCTCCCAAAAATCCTGTCGGATCGGAGTAGGGGGCTCCTGAGGTGGGAGATTCCACCTTTTTGGACCAAATAAGGGGTTACCGCCTTACCGGTTGTGTACAGGCTAAATGACAAATTTGTTGATTGCAATTTGAGACTTGTTATACTTAATTGATTGATTAAATAGTATATGGACTTAATTGATTTTTTCGAAGAAATAATTGCATAGATATGACTCCTAATTTTCTTGTGGACAAAAATACTCCCTCTGTCCCTAAAAGGATTGCCAAGTTTGACCGGCACGTAGAATAATAAAGTAAAAATTGTGCGGTAGAGATTTGTGAAGAGGAAAGAGAAATAACTGGAGCCACAAATTGATTGATTAAAAGGGAAAGTGACAAAGTTTTTGGGACAACCGAAAAAGAAAAGTTGGCAAAGTTATAAGGGACGGAGGGAGTATGACTTTTTTAATTTTTTCCAGAAATAAGATATCCTTTTCCGTCTGTTTTTAAAATGCTCCTAGCGCCCATCTTACGCTACTCGCTCTTCGACGCACGCAGGAGATGGCCGATCTATCTTCTCCGCTGCACCAGGGCCTTTGACGCACGCAACACCATCGCCTTCACTGATCCCTGATGTGCCTTGGTCTGGAACTGCCGCCTCACAACCTTCTCTTCTGTTTCTTCTCTTTCTATGTGACGAAATCGGGAATGGAGGTCGCTGATTCCAAACCCTACGGGGGAAAATTCAAACTACACTGTCTGGTGCGACAATGGAGGGGCAAGGGTTGGCTGGGGACGGGGCGAAGAGCAGGGCAGGATTGAAGACGATGGGTTGAGGCGGTACTGGTGGCGGTATGCAAGATCTGTGTTCAGCTGTCGTTCTCGCCGTAACTCGGTTCCTCTCTAGATGCTCCAATTGCGAAGATGAAAGGCTGAAATCCCTCGATATAGCCTTTTATCGTTCTATTCCTTCCTCTTTTATCCGCTCATTTTGGCCGCCTTCTTTCCGAGACAATGCAATTGCTTCCTTTTTGACGATTTTTTAGGGTATCTCTGCAAAGCATCAGAAGTGTCTCCGAATCTTGCTACAGATGTTGGGCGATTCATCGGGGATATAGTGACATCAGCAGTAGCCAACTTGAGCGGAGACACAAGGATATCAAAGACTTTCTTGGATTCCATTGTTCGTAACTTTCCTCCTATAGTCCCCTTGGATGCAATCATGCAGATAAGTTAATTTCCACTCTAATTGAGAGGTTTGAGATCCCACTCCCAAGATCTCTAAGAGAGGCAGCTGGTAGCCATGGAAGCAGTGATGTCTAGAAGAGCACTGTCAAATTATTGACTTTGATTTGGGGCCGCCACTGCTAGTGGCAGTTGCAGGGGGTGGGGCTTAGAGGGGGTCGGTGAGCTGGGAAGGGGACTGGTAAGTTGAGGAGGGGGCTGGTGGGATGGGGAGGGGGCTGATGGGCGGTGGAGATGCAGCAGTGGCGGTGCCGTTGGCGTGTCAGCCAAATTTGATTGAAATTTACGTTTCCAGCAATCATAGCGACATTGACGGTGACGGTGACACCGTCGGTGGAGGTGTCACTGTAGCCAGAGGTTGGGGCGGAGATGGTTAACGACACAGTGACATGTTTAACGGTGCCACAATGACACATTTGACGGTGGAAGTGACATACGATAGTATAAAATTGGCATGAAAATCGACAATAACATTCAAAAGTGACATAAAAAACAAACATTAACATATAAATCTACCAAAACTATGTTTTTCCAATATGACTTTTTTTATCACATTTTTGTCCTTTTGTAAAAATGGTCACATATTTGAAAATTGACTCTAAATTAGTACTCCCTCCATCCCATAAAAGTTGGCCAATATTGACTTGCACGTAGATTAATAAAGTAAAACTATGTAGTTGATATTTGTGTAGAAGAGCGAGAAATAACTTTAGCAAGATATTTGTTACTTTAAGTGGAAATGGCAAAATTTTTTAGAACATCCAAAAAAGGAAAGTTAGCCAAGTTTTATGGGACCGAGGTAGTAATATTCATGTAAAAAGTCCCTTTTTGAAACAGTAGGTGAACTGATTTTATAATTTTCCCAAGGAGCTTTAAATAATTATAAAATTCACACAAACAAGACATTTAATTAATATTAATAACTCCTAATAATTACATCCTATTTCCCATAATCTAGCATTTGTAAACAAAATCAAGTCATTTTCATTTTCATTTACCCCAGTGCCGCAAAGGCTCCCACCTAAGGTGGGGTAAGGGGGGTCGGATGTACGCAACCTTACCCCTGTACTAAAGCACAGAGAGACTGTTTCTGGATGACCCATAGTGAAAATCTCGTCCAAAATTGCATGGACTGACTGCTGCTTCATAACAAAGAAGCACAGACAATTTAGTGAGCCATTTTGCTTTATTCCATCATAATCTCAAGTCAAAAAATAATGAATCTTTGGCTCCATTGCAAATGATGGAAATTGTAAACAAAATCAAGTAAATGGATAAAAAAACATTGTTAATTAATGGTTAGCTGCTGAAAACAAAATTTATACACAATAACACAAATTCACAAGAGCTGTTTTTTATATGCAATTCATTGTTATCACAAAAATGTTCGTTATTTCCATAATGAGATCATGGAGATGCATAATTTGAGATGAAAGTCATGTTTCCAATAAATTTATCGATTTTAATAATTAAATATGTTTGTTTTAACAAAGACTCGGAAGTAAATTGAAACTTCAACAAACTGAAGGAAAACTTATGAATCTCTCAATGGTGAACAAAGCTAAATATTAAAACCCCCATAGAGTACATCATGTCATGATTCTTTGACCACAGTATCCAAAACTTCTACACCAAAACACAAGATTTAAATTCGTGAGGTGTATTTCTCAGCTCTTTGCAGCCTGCTTTTCCTTGGTTTTCTGAATCTTCAGCACCTTTTTCACAATCTTCTGCTCTTCCACCAAGAATGCTCTAATAATCCTACACACACCGGCAATGAAAACTATTGTGAGACTACAATGTTAAACCATCAACAAGATTTGTGTTTGGGCCCACCTGTCCAAACTTTGGGGTGGACAGGTTAAAGATTTTAGTTTTGTAATATTTCCAATTTCCAATTTAAACATAATACAAGCCAAAAAAAAACATTCTACAAAAACGTTTGACAAAATTACCTTTCCCGGACAGCACTGCCTGATAGGACTCCACCATAAGCACGGTTAACAGTCCTTCTGTTCCTGGATAATCTAGACCTCTTGTACTCAGCAGGCCTCAAGTGGGGAATCTGAGATTAAGATGAACATCAAATGAGTTACAGTACTCCAAATTAGCTGAACAGATAACAAATATAGATGATACAATGATCCGCCTTATAAAAAATTCTGGAATATTAAGTTATCTTTTCAAACTTGCAAGAGTCAAATTATAAGAGCAAAATGTAACTACGTTATCCACCAAGGAATTTCTAAAGGATTATCTGGTTTATTCAGGTAATCAGCAAGATAAGCAGAATACTTAAGATTTAGTAGCTTTCGACTTGTTTGGTTGGAACAAAAATTCGCAAACTCAAAAAAATCAACCATTTGAACTCAACAACTAAACGAGACATCAAACGTAATCATAATATATACTTAAAGTAAAAAAATAACCTTAGTACTCAAGTACAAAGAGCTACTAAAATAGATTGATGACCATGGCAGCAAGTTCATCTTCAAAGTATTTTTGGGTTCCAATATTTTTCTATTGGAGCTTCCCTCATTCCTATTACACAAAAATTTAACTTTACAAATTTAGATCATGATGCCATTTAAAATTTGTAGTTTAAATGTTCTTAATACTTATTTGAGATGGACATTGACCTCTTTTTGAATTACTTAACTCTAATTTGAATTACAAGTAATAAATAATATCAATTTTAATACTTTATTCTATCATATTTAAATATTATATACGTCACAACAAGTCACCTAGATGTCACCTAAGCAAGAGCCTAGTCACCTTTTCACCATGACACCATAAACACAGTCCACCATGATGTTAACTCATTCAAGCATATCATCAAAGACTCATAGGAATGCGCAAACCAATTCAATTAACTAGTTTTCATGACGCTGGATTTAATAAAAAATATTAGCAAATGATGTTTGAATAGATTCTAAACACCCCACCCCATATGATGTTTTTATAGAAGAGGTGCCATAGAGACAATCCAGCATATCACTTAGGGCACTTAGGGCAGTGATAGATTTGTTTAGACTAGCAAAAGACAGCTGTGAACACTACTTCAATAGTGATTAAAATTTAAAAGTAGAATAATCACAAAATAAGGACAGGCTAGATTGTCTAGAGGTATAATCAACTTCTAAGCAGCAAGTAGTATCTAAAACGATATTCAACTTCTTAAATATCCATCGAGTTGTATGTTAATAAACAAGCATTGAGTTTATATGAAAAAATAAATCCAAGAATTATCCAACATTTTTCATAAAATAGTAAGCACACAGCATGCTTATGGTTATGATCAGCACATATATCAGATATATGATAAATCTGATCAACTAATGATTATGAAGAAAATGTATGCATACCCCTTGGATCCGCTTTCCCGTTACAGGACACTTGGGTCCACTAGCCCTCTTCTTTGTGGATTGAAACACTAGCTTCCCCCCTATTCACAAGATTTACTAACATAATTAATCAAACAATCATCGTATATAATCCAAAATCATCATAATTGCGACAATGGTAAAAGTAGATACGTCATGAAAATCAAATCCCGGAAACTATAAGTTTAACAGCTAAATAATAATCCGTAAGAACTTCGAATGAGAAGGGGAAATACCAGGTGTTTTGACAACACGGTTTTGGTTTGATTTCGTGGCATAGGAATGGCGTGAGCGGTATACGAGCCGCTGCACCATTTTTCCTGTCTTGACGGCTTAAGCTGCAACGGAGAGATGAAGGGTTTCAAAATTTGTTGTTTTTGTGTTTATATAAACTTGGTATCGCGAAGTACGTTACCCTAGATCGGACGGCTGAGATTACAATTGAATGCTGGGTTGATTTTTAGTCTTGTGGGCTATTATTGCCGAACAACGTAATGGGCTTTATGAACCGTATGTGTCGCTTATTTTTTGTCAAAACCTATTTGGCTATTTGTATACGGTGACAACTCCGGTATCTTCCTAAAAAATGGGGTACCGTACCTATCATTCATTTCATTGGACCACATTACTTTATCATTTTTAATTTAGATTTAAATAATTCAACTACTATATTCTCATTGGTCCATGTGGACAAAGGTATGGTACCTTATGGGTACCATAGAATCTACCTTTGTATAGACTTGTTTTGGTATCCCAGCAAGCCCACGTGGTCATAATTTTGACTTAACAAAACGAAAATATGCCTAATTTTTCCGATCATAAACACTTTTTTCAAAACGAAAATATGCCTAATTTTTCAAAAATATGTCTAATTTTTCTGCTCATTTCCTAATATTTTGACTCATATAAACATTTTTTGTTAAGATCAGAAACACTTTTTTCATATTTCAAAACATTTTTTGATATTTACTCTCAACCACATGCCTGATTTTTTTTTTGTAAATGGATCGATTTCTTGAGCATGACATCCCCATCCCCCTCTAATTGTCTCCATACTCTTCCTAATGAGTTTACTAATATCAAGGCAAGCGCAAAGTCTCAAGTAAACCCTCCATAAGTCCATAACCCCTCAAACTAGTTTTCATGTAACTTTATAAATTCACCTTTAATGTCAGAAAATATGTCATTAATGTTGTGGTACTGCATAATTTGTGAGTAGATTTTCTGACCTCTTGTGCATAATTTGTCAGAAAATCTATTCACAAGAGGTCAGAAAATCTACTCACAAATTATGCAGTACTACAAGATTCTAATCATATAACTAAGGACCATATTCAAGCTAACGACACATATCAATTTCGTGATAAAAAGAAAACATGTACTGTTTATCGCCCATATTTATGATATACACATTTGCTTGGTCTCCTGATAGAGGTCAATACATCCTCGTAATACCATAAATTTCACTGGCTTTTCAGCTATTATGGTGCTTACCAATGACCATCTGGACAGACCCTCCCCCATTCATCTTCCTCACTTCCACTTGGCAGGATCAGCCCGTCCACATCATATCCCAATTCCAGGCATCTATATTTTATGCCAAATCGTGGTGGTTATCCATTCGACCTTCAGTGTCTTAAGTTTCCTTTCATCGTATGTTCTCACAGCCTCCCAAAACTTGCTGAAATCCTATGCTAAAATAAATTGACCAACTGCTTGTGTCCACACACAATAGTGTGAGAAGAAAATGAAAACGACCGTGATGTTGCTTAGCTCCAAGTGCTATTCTATCTTTGATATTTAAGAATAAGTCATGTGAATATATCTATTTTACCTTTCATGTTTAAAACATTAATGCATGCCTCTCGCTTCCACCATTCCCCATCGTGTACGCATATATTACATAAATATATTTTCGTTTACGCTAAAAATAGACATTTTTGATAATTTCAAGTTGGTAATTCTATCGTAATTGCGTGTCAATTGTGTGATAATTACTTCGTATGTTGTAGTCATTTTTTACCGTGAAAGTATTAGTAAACCCTGTTTTGATAAATTTAAAAATTGGTTGATAAATGTGTACTAGATATGTTGAGACAATATATATATATATATATATATATATATATATATATATATATATATATATGGGATAAGAAATACAGAAACAATAAATTTAAATCATACCATAAATATTCAGATTATATAAGATCATATCTTAAAACTAGTTATATGAAAATAATTTGAATCACACAAATGGAATTTTTCTTTGAGAATTGAAAATCACATGTGAATATCCTTCATTCTAAGTAGTTCATCACTTCGTCTTTACAGCGCCCATATTTATAATAAAGAATACAAAGTAAAAACAATGTTGCAAACATATTAGAATGTTTTTAATTAGATTTAAATTTCTGGTTTGATAAAGTTTGTTTAAGTCTAATCTAATATGGTAAACGTATAGTATATGTATATTTTACTGTATTTTTACTAATGTCTAAACCTATTGGTTGGAGCCTAGATAGTGATATAGGACCAGTCCGAGCAAATCCTTTTCCTGGGTGAATTTGGGACTCGTCAAAGTTGTCGGGCCACGTGTCTTTATTTAATGTTTTAATGCATATGAAATCCTTTCTTTAAATATCCCAATAATGAGTATGTATATTTAACTTTAAAATTTATATGAAACAATTCACCAAATTCTAATACCTATAGAGAATATACAAAATTAAACCTAACTTGTCCAAAATACATTGTTTTGCCTTTAAATAACTAGAGCCAGTGTCTTTATTTAATGTTTTAATGCATATGAAATCCTTTCTTTAAATAGTGTCATAGGGGTATTTGAAATTCTTAATACAATTATATAACTTATATTATTGCAAGGTTTCATATCTATTTTTTATATCTAGGAGCAAATGTTTGTGAAATGCTTTTGCCTTGCACTATTGCCTTGTATACACCAATACACCATATAAACAATGTTTATGTATGTAGATACCTAATGTTGTACAAAGAAGAAGTCCTATATATATTGCTTGGATATAGCCATATAGGTTAATAAGGATTGTGATCTTTTTATGCTCATTCATGTCTGCATACTCTCTACATTTTCTTTTTGGGTGCAAAAAATAATTATATAGGAATAAAAATATGTGTGCATGTGAAGAGAGCAAAATAAATTCTCTATATCACAATTGCAACTTACATCAATAAAAAACAATTGCTTTGTATAATTTGTTTTACACCTCTTGTGAACTCTTATAATCCATATACACCATAATTACAAAGCACATTGTTGACAATACACCCCACCCTCAATTAAAATTAGCTGTTATAGACGCTCTTGAGTTACAGGAATTGCAGGTGTGGCTGATGCTATAGTAAATTGCATTCCATTTCGTTGTGCTGCTGATTGCACTACAAATGCAAATTGTGTTGCCGCCATTGCCGCCGCCTCCTGCATCCGTACTTTAGAGTTATTCGTAGTACAAAATATTTATCCATCTAAACATCCTCTGTCCACTAATGTCAATAGTACCCTTAACGCTATCGTAGAACACTGTTATGGTATGTGTTTTAAAAGGTGTTGGATGTATTGGCCCAGCATAAGCAACATGTTTCCCCTATTCGGCTCATCTATGTCCTTGTGTTTGACTGGGATTGAGATGGAAGTCTGAGTGAGAAATCCATCCACCTTACAATAGGTGTCTCCTTGGATTAGGCAGATCATTGGCCAGGTATGAGAATCTATATAGAACATAAGTTATGAACAAGGTTTTTTTTTCACTTTCAATCCTCACGATATTGATTGTGTCGGTGCAGTTTTGGTTCTCACTTTGAATCGTCAACTCTTGTACTAAAACTATTATGGTAGAGAAATTTTTGGTACTCATCTTTGATGTTTTCAACTAAATTGTAGTCCTTTATAGTCCTCCACTATTGTGACATAGATGCTTTTAGTCCTTTACTTGTAGTAGGTAAATTAGAAAATGATTACTAGTCCTTTACTTGTAGTAGGTAAATTAGAAAATGATTACTAAAAGTGTATTGCCACAATAGTCATATGAAAAGTTATATGGTTATTAGATCCATAAGCAATTTTTTCCTGTGCTTTAGAGGGGGTAAAGTAAGGGCATATATTGTATGAGGTCTACCAAAAGCTAGATAAAAGGGCGCATATTAGACCGATAAAAATCTCATGACCTAGTACCCCCTTATTTGTATTTGTTGTATAGTTGACATCAAAAGGATGCAAAATATACTTATTACCAAAGAGTGCATTCAGGACGGTTAAAATTTTCTGGGAGTAAGAGATTTTCATAGGAGGAAAAGAGTTTTTTTTTTCAAAAAAGATTTTGCAATGAAATGAAAAACTGCTCTTAATGGTTAAAATTTTACTTTTTCTTCATATTAAAGAAAATTGTTACTAAAAAAAGCACTTTTAGTGCTTAAATGAGGAAGCACTTTTGGCACAAGTAGACCCAAACCGCTTGTCCGGCTCTAAAGCAGTTGCAGAAATTCTAACCTCTCTTTGCCTTCGCTGTTGCAAAATACTGATGGCCCAGACCATGATGTAGCATGGCAAAAGAAATCCAACCATCCTTAGCAAGAAAAGCTGCATAAACACATTTGGTTATGTCATGGCTTCAAAAACTCCCTCTTAGTTAATGCAATTTGAGTTGAAAGAAACACGCTTACAGAGAAAATAGCAGACGGATCACCATCCTCACCACCTTCACCGTCTGTGACATTCATAGCATGCCGCAATAGCAGAAGAGCCATCAACTGAAAATAGTTTCAACACTTATGGCATTAATACATACATACATACACACACACATACATACATACATACATACATACATACATACGTACGTACGTACGTACGTACGTACATACATACATGCATGCATGCATGCATACATGCATGCATACATGCATGCATGCATACATACACACACACGCACACACACATACATACATAAATTTATACATATATACATATATATGTGGGGGGAAGTAAAAATATTGAAAATAATTTGTAAGGGCTCACAATTAGGGCAGCAGAGCGGCAGAAAGCAGCACCACTTGCATTTGCAGCATTATAATCATCATATTCAGCTTCCAAAATTTGGCGATCCGCCTCTGCAAGTGCCAAAAAGCGATGGTCATGCAGATCCAAAGGCATACCAGAGATTTGCCACCCTCCACTGATAATCCAAAGGAAGAAAATAAATACATCATTAAATTGCATAACTAGACTTTTGGTATATTTTATACTTGAAGAGTTTCTCATTAAAGAAAGCAGTGATGGCAATTCAGGGAATCAAATTGACATATAATAGCAAAACTTAATCTTAC